AAAAAAAAAAAAAAAAAAAAACCACGATGTAATGGCAAAGAAATAAGTTCAAAGAACTCCCTGACAATATGAAAAGATCTTCTACAGCGCTTTTACGTGCTGGAAATGTACGTGCTGTAGAAGATTTTTAAGGGCAGTCGGTGGGGATTGAACACATGACCTACTGAATGCCACTTGTGTGCCTAACTAACTGAAAATGTGTGTGTGTGTGTGTGTGTGTGTGTGTGTGTGTGTGTGTGAGAGAGAGAGAGAGAGAGAGAGAGAGAGAGAGAGAGAGCAAACAAAGAGCCCTTTCAGTTTTTAATTGGAATACCCCTGCGGGTGATCCGAGAGGCTCTTGCAAATAACTGGCAAGGGTCTTCTCACCACGAAAGAGGCCATGGTTAGGCTTCCAACAGGGTGGGAGCTGGGCAACTATATATTCTGTAGATTTGCGTTCAGGTCCGTGTTTCAGCAGTTATGGGACGACTAAGCTCGTGATTTTCTGGGCAGTAGTGTGCAAAACTAGAATGAATCTTCTGCTAGAACATGGAACCATACACCGCCATATGTTTTGTCTTTTGTCACTAGTGGAGCGAGGCCCTCAGGGCCACTGCACGTCGGAAAAGGAAAACAAAAAACAGAGGGAGCTACGGTGGTAGTTGTGACCCATAACTGCTGGAACACAGACCTCGATCGAACCCAGAACATATATTGCTGGCCTGCTCCTCTTCAACCCGAAATTGGACGAACTTCTCTGAGAAAAATGGGGCCCTGCCGATTATCTGCTGGGGGCCCTTCGGAAGAGACTATCCAATGATCCAATGAGGAATATGCGGTTCTAGTTTTTATTTCTGTGCAGTTAGGATTTCTAGAAGGGAGGCGCACGTTTGGCTACGGCAGCTCCGCATTACGTGCGCGCGCATGTTTGCTCATGCGCTCTGCGCTGCACGTGCGCAACTTGCGCCCACGTGATGCGCCGCAGGTATGCCGCAAACCCATCCAGATTCGGGCGTTGAGGAACACTGCTAGTGGGACCCTGCCCCAGGTCAGAATTCAAATCCTGCCTGATTCCATATTTTGAGGGGGCTACACTGTTGATGTAAAAGGAGGGGAGTGGGGGGGGAGGGGATGGAAAGAAAAGAGAAGAAAAGCTTGAGAATCTACTTATAAGAGCAGAATAAGGTATAGGACCTATAGGTACTAGGTGGTCTTTGATGTCCCTGGCTGATGATTGAATACGTTTTTTTCAGTGCTGGTCCCCAGGATGGACTGGGGGGCACTCTCCACAACCGGGAGCCTGCCGGTTGGACACAGCGGTCCACCAGCCTGGCAGGTCCCCCGTCCAACCCAGCGCATCGCGGTTGGGCGGATGGGGGGGGGGGGGGAAAAAAAAAAAAAAAGAGAAAACTACGGC